GTTAGCACATATAAAAATACATTTCATTCATATCAGATTTTATCTAGTTTAAACTCTGAAGGGAAATTGATAAGGAAATACAACAAAAACATAGATTCTATTTAATCTAGTTTCACTATTTGTATTTATTTGTTAACAGTATAACAATTTGTTTTCTAATATTTACTTTGTTTCGTCATGGGTTTACAAACTTTTGCTGTGGTATTTGGTTTTCATTTAGTCATCGTCAGATATGAAGCATCAATAAAGAATGTACATATATGTTTTTTACGAGCTGTGTTTACAATTTTCCAACATAAATCGATTGCTATGTGACTTCAACATGGCTTCAACATCAAACCGAATTCCAAAAATGTTTTGCGGCTTCAATTGTTTGCAATATAAACGAAACTCCACAGTTTGCACTAACTAATAAGCGATGCTTTAATTTTAAATTCCGACCACGATTCTTGCAAACATCTTTGGAATGATATTAGATTTGTTCAGTGTTATCTGCTATCTGCCATCAATACACCTGCAGCTCTCACCCCAGCGTGCCAATAAACCCGACGTGATGCTGGCATGAAGCTCCCAATCCACACAGTCAATAGATAGTCCCCCTAACCTTCGACCCCCAACCAGACTACTCATAGTTTTAAGCTTATGCATTAACCATCGCAATGCGAGTTTACTTACACCCGCAAAATTGCTCAGTGATGGCAGAAGCTTAGAAAAATATGTAAATATATATTTATCTAAGAATTTTTTCGACAAATTCATGTTTTAAAAACTCATAAGTCAAAAAAATAATCATTTTAATTCAGAAAACTTTCCTATTTTAGTTTTTATTAGATTAACAAATGTGCATCCTCAATATTCAATTTGTAACATTTTAATTTTTTGGGAATTTCTGACAATTTTAACGATGTAACCCCTTATAAAATTTTGAAAAATTTGATACATTTATTTTTCTGCCGAATATAGCTAGATCGATTCGTCTGTTGATGCTTAACAAGAATATATGTTATTTATAGGGTCAGAAATGACTCCTTCACATCGTAACAAGCTTTTAACTAAAATTATAAAACCCAGCAAAAGGTCTAAAAATGGAATAAAATCGGAAGGAATAATCTTGTAATATAGCATGAAGAATTTCTGAAATATAAACACATAACCAGAATCTGCATTATTCGTTCACAAGACATAAACTCGGTAAACAAGTTTTATGTGTCAAGATTATGTAATATTGAAAACGAGTAAGTTAAACAGGGAAATAAGATAAAATCAGAAATATGTTGCAACATGTACTGGGAACATGCATACCAGGCAGTGCTCTTGAAATTCCCAAGACGAATATAGTAAATTGCAATTTAATACGGTTTCTTGGTTGGGAAGTAAAATTAATACATACTAAAGTCTATTTTATAAGACTAAAATCGCTAGACCACTAGTCAGCAAAAAAGTCATCTTTAATAGTCAATACCGGATGGGATTGGATTTCATTATTTCCAGAAGTAAATCTATAAAATTATAGTACGAAAGCTAAATAAGCTTACAAAAAAGTGTACACAATTTTAAATAAATATTTTTAAACATTTTGAAAATGTATATTTTCTAAATTTGTCGTGTTCGTTGATATTCTTTCTAGTAATATACAAAAGTAGCTAACATGACAGCACTAGGCCTGCCTGCTTAAATTTCCAATCAGACAATAGAGACGACACACTGGCACACACGTCCCTCACGTCGCATCTATCCTCAGATTGGCCACCCATTTGGCCAAGCTCATTATAAACTTTGCCTTCACAGCTCCCCTGGGTGCTAATTTGCGCCTTCTCCGTCGTCCTTGAATGGGGGTGTTGGGATCGGGATTCAAACTCGGATTGGGGGCGTGAAGTGGGAGTGATTGGATCTCGTTGTCTTGGGCTGGCCAAACCATTTAGTGGGTTCAATGGCGTAATTTCCTTTGGCATTTCTAATAGATGGCAAATCATGCTCAAAATTATACAAAGGACGCGCCAGACAAATGGATGGATCGATGGGTGGACTGGCTCGGAGTCTGCCGGAGTCAGCAAATTCAGTGGCTGATTTGCATAAAGTCAAAAGCTAAATGCGAGAAAGGAGATTTCGTTTGTGACAGCCCCCCCCCCCCAAGACATCGACAGATTCACATTTGTCCCAACCCACTCTCTCTCTCCTTGTTTTTTCTCCTTTTGTTTATGTGTGTTGTGAATCATCCGATTTGATTTCCTAAATGACAGCAAAAACCCCTCAAACCACTCCACATACAGCCAGATATTTGTGAGACAATAGTGGCCATAATCTGGCAGCAAGTTTTCTGCCAATCTAGCCGCTGACTTGACTGAATGAATACGTATATTATACAGCTAAGTATGCACACATAAATATTTGCGAGAATTTATTCGAGGGTGTGTGGATATATCCGCGCGCATATATAGTTCCGCAATAATATTCATTTATGCAAATTTTTTTCCCATGTGTTCTTCCTAGTCTCTGTGTGTGGTTCGACATTGCTTTTCCCCTTTTCGTACATCTGTCGATAGAGTCAATTTTCAGGATACTACTACTACTCTACTCTATATAAATATATTTCCATTATCATGGTTAGGAGTAGGTTTACTTATTAGGTTGTACTACCTTACAAAGTCTAAAAATCTCTGATACTACACAACTCTAAAAAGAACTCTTAAAATACAAGCGGCTTTAGTCATTGCCTTCAGAATGAAGTAATAATAATTCCATAATTCATATAGAATGAAAGTAAGAAATAAAAAGTATACATATTTAAATACAGTTATATACACCTTTTCAATGTTAAGTATGTGTAAAGCCTTCTTGCGATCATCTCATACAATTTAGTAGTAAGTAGTATGATTCATGACCTAACCTATGGGTATCCCCAATTCGACATGTTCAGTCTTCAGGTTAGCTCGATTTATTTAAAGTTATTTCATTTCAATGGCACGCGGCATGCGTCAAATTAAAATTCAACATTTGGAATGCGAATCGGTAAATAATTTAAAATGCCCTGCACTTTGGCTCCCCACATCAGAAAACCGACTGTGGCTGTGGCTTTAACTCGTTGAACCCTTTTTGACGTTATACATTTAATTATTTGCATATACAAATATTTTTGTTTGCGGGAGTATGATGAATACGGTGAGATTTTTTCTGGTCTCGTTTTTGCCCTGCTGGCTGCCGCCTCTACTGGCAATTTAATTGATATTGATGACGTTGCTCCAAATGGCATCAGGCGGAAAGGCTAGCCGAGTTCTCTTAATGGGAGTAAAGGGGGTAGCAGGCGGTGCTCTTCAGTCATTAATCTGGCACATTACTTTGTGGCATGAAGGGGGTTTCGGTGGTCGGTCTAAGGGGTGACTGACTGGCCACTAGAGGGGCATCACAAACAGAAAGTTTAATTTATTTAAATTGAAATCTGTTACCCCTCTGAATTATTGAACAGTTAATCACAATTTGGATTCTGTGTTTCAGGTTCTCGCCGTTGTGTGTGCTCATAAATTTGCGACGATTTCTCGGAATTATTTATTTAAGTTGATATCATCAATTATTGGGACCTCTTCTGCGGTGACCGATTTCGTCATATTTATCGTAGAGTTTTTGGGGAAACAATTTGCAATGCATAGACGTGTCATGAAATTGATAAATCTCTTCTCATCTGTTAGGTTAGTAAGTGTAACAGAAAAATGAACACATAAGTAAATAATCTATGATAAATTCAATACTTAATCAATGAGCTAATAGCTTCAAAATATAAAATTGAACAAGCCTCACAAACTTGGAAATAGATCTCAAGAGAGATGAAATTCATTGATTACAATAGATCATTTTAACAAATGCTATATAAACATTATATGCTCGTCAACAGTATATTTATTGTGATTCTAGTAAATTATCACTTATAGCTGCCATCTGAGATTGTTATTTATTAGCTACCAAGAAGCACAGACAGTTTTAAGATGAATTCGCTAGCCTAAGGCAATTTCCTGTGTAAATTATATGAACTTAAACAACCCCTTTGCTTAAAATCGACAATAAATACATACTTCATTAAAATATCTTCACAATACTTATTTCCATCGTCTTGTGTTTAAAAGAAAATAAACCCACCAGTTAACCCAAATTGAAAATACTTTATAAGCAATTTTGGTGATTGGGCCAAGTATTATTGCTTGAATTATGAGGGGTAAACGTTAATATTGAGGGTGAAATTTCCAGCAAAGGGATGAAGCCACCCTCGTCGTCGAGTTATTTTCTTTGTGTCTTCACATTATTGCTCCGTCTCAACCAGGTTAAATAAAATTGATTTAAAGTCGAAGTATATGAGAACCTATAGGGTTAAACAACCCGTGACAGAAGCAGCGCAAAATTCTCTCACGACAAATTGAAATTTCCAGGTCCGTTGTGTTATGAAGAGGCAGCACATGAAAGTCGCAAATTGAAACGCAATTTCAGCGCACACAAAGAAACTTTAAACCGCTTGGCGAGCGAGTGAGAGACCCATTAAAAACGCAGATAAGAAACAGTTGCAAAAATAGCATTAGGGTACAAGGAGGATCATATCATCAATGGGTACTTTCGGTCACGGCGATAGGGAAGCGCAGCAACTGAATAAACAAAGGCGAGCGCCAGCGCCAGAGACAGGCACAATAAACCTAATCAAAGCTACTAAAAACGAGAACAAACAATGGCCCGCCAGCCAATATGGCGTTCGTGTGTAAGTATAGGTGATATGGGAAGGTGTAGCTGTGGGTGTAATCATCCGTGTAAGTACATGTGTGTTTGTGTGTGGCAAGCAGGGTGAGGAGATAGTTAACTGTAAAATTGCATATTTATCGCCTAATGGTGAGCCATTATCCCAACCGCATATCCTGGCTATCAAGCTTTAGTGACTTCAAGGGGATTTCGTTAGCTTCCGCACAAGCGTTAGATGTCGAAAGTGTCGTTGCTGAATCATAACAAAACAAAAACAGCGCACTCACCTCTCGCTCCTCTGTCAGCTCCTCGCCAGCTGCTTGGCCCAAAAGCAGTACCAACGCAACTGTTGCTGCCGCGAACAGCCTCATGTTTGCTAGTTATTATCTGTGTTTGCCTCTGCTCTCCGCTCACCGACGTAATGTTTTCCGATTTTTTAACGGCTCGCGATGACGTTTACACAAGACGCGCACAGGTGAAATTCGGGTGTTTCTTTTTTTTACTATTTTTTATTTTTGCGCTGGGCGAATTACGCCGCCCGAATGTTTGTTGGTCTTTGGCGAGTTGGAGATGGCCAGATTTCGATTCAAGGTGAACGATGACATGAAAAACATCGATGACACTATCGATAATGGCGATGTATCTGAGATCGGGACTATCGATATTTTTTATAATCTTGGTTTAGATTTTTGAATTTTTTATTTCTGAATGTTCAGTAAAATGACATATTTATCGTGTATAAAAAATAATTGTCTTTAGACAGTTTCTAGTTTCTTGAATAACATTATATTACTTCTGTATTTCTGTTTTTTGACGTGTTGGTGCGCACGAATTTAAACATTAGTGAATAAGGTAACCGTTTCTTTTTTTAAATCACTAATCTTAACTCTACTTTTTATAATTTTTAAAGCATTTTTAAGTATTAAAATAAAAGCAAAATTCAATAACTTATTTTAGCAAACACATTTTGTACATTGCCTGGCAGCTATAAAAAGCTTTGCACTCACACGGAATAAGCTTTTAATGGGTCCTGAACTAGCTGGATTCCTAAAAGCCTTCTCTGCAGCTCCATTTTCACAATATCTTGGTTTTGCGACCTTAAAACATATAACTATCTATATACTGCCTGTAATGTAGAAATTTTTAAAACCAGTAACATCTTAACATCCTTCAGGGTCGTTACACCTCTTATTATTTTACATCAATGTCTTCACCATGTCTTAAACCATTTCTTTGTTTCCAACTTACAATGCTTAAAAGCTAAATGCAGCAATTTTACCTGTTTTACAATGACCCATTTTTGCACACAGGTGAGAAACTGAGTACATGTTGATTTTTGGGGGGTTGTTTTTACGAATGAGAGTGTCTGTGATGCGTTGAAATAGCTAGAGATTTAACAAATCTCTATATTTTATAGCAACAAGAAACTAAACAATAGTCGAGTGGACTCGAATATGAGATACCTTGTACTTTTTCCTTTACTTTATATATAAATTTAAGTCAACAGCTTATATATATTATTTAAAGTTTATTGTCACATGGAATTGAAGTAGTTAATTTATTCGTGATAAAATGAATATAAGACTGATTGACATTTTACTATATTTACATACATATAAAAGTTATGAAACGTTATTTAGAGTTAAACAAATTTACTTAATTCATTGTAGTTGGCTTATAATGCCTACGTCAAGTCTGGCTTCCCCAATGTAATCTTAATCAAACCCACTCTCATCCAGACTGAACCCTGCGGCTGCGCGGACGAGGTGCATCCGAAACCAGGACATCTAGTTTGCTAATCGGTGTGTGACCTGACGAATGGTGTGCCCAAAACGGAAGTGCACAAAAACAAACAGTGCCAGGTAACCGCTGGCAACAACTTTAAATAGTGCTCGGTATTGATAAAGCGCGTTTGCAACAATTTTCCAGCAGGCCAGCAGTATTCTGATTTCCGCACTTCCGCCTGTGGCAGTATGAGCTCGCACTATCTCAACTCCTGTGTGAAGGTGCCCATTGATCCGTGCAACAACTGTCCAGCTCCAACCTACAATCGACCCAAGCTCTGCTCGCTGGGAGGAAAGAAGCCTTCAGATAACGCCTCCACTGTGTTACCGGAGAGACCTGCCTGGAGCAGTCAGATGGGTATTAGATCCCTGGCCAAGTTTTACGACAGTATACCTGGTGAGTTAGCTAGATGTGGAAAACTGGGCAGATATTGATCACTTTTCAATAAGAAATAATAAGGAAAGCAAGATAAGATATATGTTATGTGGTAAGCTATCATAATTAGTCCAACTCTATGATATCTTGGAGCCTCAAACCTCTTTAAATATATTTAGATACAATTATTGTTGGTTTCGAATTAAGAATATATAGATCATACTAATGATAAAACATTTGTATTATTATACATATAATAAATTCCTTTTTTTCAAGACTACTGTGATGTGAGGCACCTGCACCAGGCGGAGTTCTACTCCACGTTGGAGAGTTTGCGCAGCACTAGTCGTGAGCTGCGATCTCAGCCAGCTGCGGGGTCAGCATCCCGACCAGCTACAGCTTCAATTCCACCTACAGCTCCTCCTCGTGAGCGATGTGCCAGTGCCAGCAGCAGCATCTTGGGACATGGCAAGTCCAAAAAGCGGTCAACCAAGGGCAAAAAGACGAAAAAGCCTCCACTGGTGCTGGGACCACTTCATCCTCCACCTGTTGTCCCCGAGACCCCTGACCACGAAGATCGTTGTGTGACACCTGCTGTATTGCATACCCCTAGTTCAAGTTGCCTGAGCGAGGAGTACGACAAGTGCCTCAGGGATTTGAGCCGGCTGAAGAGCTTCAAAGAGGATTATGCTGTGGAGGTGGCTGACTTCAAGAGATCCCTCAAGAGTTTTGAGGCGGAGTTCCGGCGGAAATCCAAGCCCACCTGCAGCAATGCGACTCAGACGCAGACTCACAGCCAGCCTCCTGCCCGTTGTCATATCCCTGCTAATCCTGGCCAGCACACGGCGGAACGGGCCAAGTGTCGCAGGGAGATGTTGCGTAGGTCCTTCAGTGTCAACGATATCGGTGGAACTGCCACGGAATCGGAACCTCTGAAATCGCCTATAAAATCCGCTAAGCCTGTACTCAGCAACTATTTTCCCACTTCCAAGGAGGAACATGTGCCCAAGATACAAATACAGTCACCCACCGCCTCCTCGAAGAGGAGCAGTAGTGCATCCACACTCCTGAGAGGCAGAGGAAGACGCGGACGGGGTAGGAAGCCCAAGCCGATACCAACCAAAGTGGAGGAGAAGCCACTGCCAGCGGTGACCATGTTTGATTTGCTCGGGGAGCCGCTCCAGAGACGATCACCTAGTGTGTCTCCCTTACATCCAGTTGCGCGTCCCAATCTGGCGGCCACCTTGAGAGCTGAAGTTTCCCGGAAAAAGGTCAAGGAGTTAAAGAACAACTGCACTTTTCACGATCCACGGCCGCAATTCGATTGGGAGGTGCGGAAGACGCCGGCCTGGAAGTCGTTGTCCTTAAAGTGAGTATAGTGATTCTTTGTTAGGTTCCAATTTAATAACTTTTCTGCTTAATTTCTCTCAGCGAATCCCACAAGGCCCTTTTATCCATTCGTTTGGCTACTCGGAAAGCGGAGCAAGCACTGCAGGAGCGACAATATGAGCTCCATATGGAGATGATGCGGAACCGGGTGAAGTCCGCTCCCCTGCTCCTCGAAGGACCCACGTTTTGGGGTCCGGAGGTGGGAAAACTGAGCCACAGCTGCCGGAGTGAGGGTATGCGTCACTCCTGCGAAGGCAGTCGTCAGCGGCGGAAGAAGAAGTCCGAATGCTCTGTGGCTGATGCAGAGACCAAGCTGGATCAACTTCGTAAAATCTATGGCTCGGAAAAGTCCTGTTCGAGACAATCGCAAAGGAGCAAGCGATCCGCAAGGAGGCCTCGGGAACAAGTAACGGAGACACCGAGTCACGACAGTGGCGATGACCTATGCAGCGTGGACAGAGCCTTCCTCTAGAGAATCACCTATTTATCAAGAATTTAGACACAATAAATGTATACCTTTTGGATTTCCATACGAGATTACTTTATTTCCCGATATTGCTGTGCTTCTTCTTGTTTAATTTATGTTTAAAATTCTTAGCAAGCAAGACCCAAAAGGTAGGTGAAAATGCTAAATGTGAAACAGTTTCAACAACTTAAGTGCTAGTTTTTAAACATTGCGCGCTCGTCGTTACCTTTATTATCTGTCTATCGATAACACTTACCAACACTGATTTTGTTAGTATTTAATTTATCGAGATTCAAAATTGAATTGCAGTATACTACCAAAATTCTAGGCATTTTATTTGTATTGAAAAAAAGAAACATGTTTAACTTACAATTGTTGATCTTAAATCAATTACAATTAGGGAGAAAAATTCTGTTAACCTCATAATAACATAATAAGATATATTGAAAAGTAACTGACCCACCGCACACAACTGACATGTCGGCTCCACTTTCTACTTCGGGCTTGGGTTACTTCGGCTCCGACTGGCTCTGAGCTGACCAAAAGACCAAGTCAGTACGTAACCGCTGCTGCTGCGAATCGGACGTGTTCGGCAAACCCAGTCCACGTCATCCGTCGTTTGGGCCATAACAAAAACACGTTTACGAAACTCTCGACGCTATCGCCGTCGTCATCTCGTTCCGGCCCGCGCGCGTAAACCAAGTCAACAGAGAAGCAAAACAAGCAGCCAACCCAGCTAAAAGCAAAAGTGAGTGCAGTGGGGTATAGTTTTGGCCATGTTGGTTACTGTTGCTGCTGTAACCGTGAACTGGCCGTAATAAATACGGCAAATTGATTGCAATAAGCGGGACTGGCCAAAGTGGATGGTAATTGCAATTACCAGGATTGGACCACAAAATACGTTTAAATGTATTAACCGCACACACGCACAGTTCCAGCCAACAGTGCCGACTGCAGTATGAAATGCGCGATGGCGCCCATAAAAATGGCAATCGCAAAGGGGTCATTCTATTGATTTTCGGCATTATTTATTAATGGACTTCGACAATAAAACTGCTTACAAAATTCGTAACTTCTTCGTCAGCCAACCGTCCACAGCCAAGCTTACGCTTTTGCTAACAAACAGGCCCAGACACCCAAAATAACCCAAAACTACACAGAGACAATTTTTAAAAATTAGGAAAACTTTAGTGATTAGTGAATAAAAATGAACAAAGTAAATAAGAATTTGTCAGAGAAGATTTTGTGATATATTAAACAGCAGCATTGTTAAATTTGATTACTTTAGTTCAAAAATAAAAATATCGAACAATTCGTAATTAAATTGATGTAGATATGTGTAGATAAAGTTTTATGTTATTTTATTTTGATATCTTAAATATATATCTTATCGGCTAGATCATCCAAAGATCGCTCTAGGTATACACGTTTACTGAATAATTTCTTGTGATGAACTTGAAGCTTCCAAAACGATCTATGCGTGATTAAATTAAAATAATTTACGTAAACAATTAAGATATATGCAAATATAAGTAGAAAGAAACATTTTTAATCAAGAAGTTAATGGTTTAATAACATTAAAATTGTGTTTTTATATATTACCTAAAATATAAATTAAATTACATTGGAAAGCGAACCTTTTAAATATTATTATTTCGTTTTAAGTCACCTATGTACATCTGAGCTCTCTTTAAGATTTGATATCACACTTCTTACCCCATTTCTCGCAGTGCATACGTGTGTGAGGCGTATGTAGCTGTAGCTGACAGCTGCCAAGTGCCAGGAGCTTGTCGTCAACAAGTCTATCAAAAGCACGTTTGTCATTTTTGTTGCAGTGGCCCCAGCTAGCAGGTGGCGCCAACCCCTTGCCACCCCCTGGCAACCCAGCCACCCCCTGGCCGCCCCCCTCACTCGCCTGGCTATGTACTAAGTGTGCCAGTGTGTGTGCGTGTTTGGCTGAGAGTTGCTTTTGTGTGTTCGCCAATTGGAAGTTTGTTTGAAACTACATTTTATGCTCGTTCTGTCCCGCTCTGGCGCAAGACCCTTTTTCCCATTTTCATTTGCATTTTCCCCGTCTCGCAGCGAAAATCAATTGTTATATGCAATAAACGCAAGACAAGCCAAGCGCTGCGAACCAGTTTTTGTAGCGGAGCCAAAATCGTTTTTTATTTTTTTTTAGCTTACATAAACTCGCGGTCAGAGTGTTTGTTGGATGTAAAACAAGTTTATCAAATTATATACAAATACAATATTTTTCCTTTGTTTTTTAATTATTAATTGAAAAAAATATAGAAAATAGTATCTACCATTTATTATTCATACTTGTCATTTATGTGCATAATCAATAAACTAATTAATTAAATTTATTTTAAAGTCATCTGTAGAAATTTATTTGGGCAAAAGAAGCTTAAAAGTAACATTTTCTTATGTTTTAAAATGTGTAATGCTTTTAGATTTTAGAAAATTGAAAAAGTACATTCTTGTCACATTTTTTGTATCCTTATTTCGAGGGTGTTGTTAAAAATAGTTAATTTATAGGTATTTTTTATCTTTAAACCCTTAAAGGGTTTTATAATTTCAGTCAAAAGCTTTAAACGCAGTGAAGAAGTCATTTCCGACCCTATAAACCATATATATTCTTGATCAGCATCAAATGTCGAGTCGATCTAGCCATGTCCGACAAAAATTTATATTTTTCAAAAATTTCAAAATTTTATAAGGGGTTACATCGTTAAAATTGCCAAAAATCGAGAAAAAATTTATATTGTAAAATTCTAAAACGTAGTATGCAAATTTGTTAACCTAATAAAAACTAGCATAGAAAAGCTTTCCGAATTGAAATTAATTAATTTTTGACTTAGTTATGACGTTAACTTTAAGGGTATACAAACTTCGGCTATTCTTAGTTATCATTTTATTTCTTCGTGCTTAGACATATATTTAAACTTAAAGTTTAACCCCAAATAGGCAATTGTTGGTTTAAATTTTTCAGCAAAAAGCAATTTCCTTCAAAGCAGCTACCAGAAGCTTAGTTGACTTTAAAGCTGAGCTCAACAGTTTACACTTCACACCTCCCATCATCATTCAGCGACGTTGACAGAGCTGCTGTTGCTTTATTCAAATTGAGTTGTTGTTTATTCATGCATTTGTTGCACTCTCCAACGGTTTATTGTTACCCCCCCCCCAACACCAACCCCTGGACACACACACATACACTCATAAACATATATTCGTTTGTAAGGGGTTTCCCCAAACCCTTCCACAACGAGCCCCTTTTTCGCCACGCTTCCGAGTCATGACATTTCTATGCTCGACTCAAGTGTCTGTTACGTTTAAATGTCGACTCACAGTCACATCTACAAGTACGGCAACAGCTACAACTACAGTTGCAGTTAAAATTATAAACGCACACGTGTGTGCTAACATGTGGCATTTGGTGTATCTATATGCATTAGCGGGTCTGTGTGTGAGTGTGTGTGGGTGCGGGTTTGTTGGCTTAAAGCAAACTTTCACTTTTATACGGCCAAAGACAAAAACTGGCAAAACGACAGTCGTGACCCCACTGCGTTTTTTGTCTTTGTTTTGTGTTTTTTGTTTATTTTATATTACAGTTAAAAAATTGTTTGCTAAGGAAATGGTTAAGCAGAGGTGACATACTTTTATACCCTTGTAGAGTGGTATAATTTTAGAGAGTGAAGTATTCATTTCTGACTCTACAGATCACGGTTTAGAAACAAAAAGCAAAGTCCCAATCTTTTTAAATATTGTAAGATTACATCAATCAAATTGTCCAAAATATATATATATTCTTCAAGTCTCTTCCTAAACCTAGTAGAAAACGAATCGTGGTTGGTTTGAAACCTGTTAAAGCCCCATTCCCAGTTTCCAATTCCCAGCAATGCAACACAATAACCCAATCGCCAATTCGGCACATTATAATTAGACGCATATTTGGTTTCGATCGATACGGTTTCGAATATGAGAATTAGAGCACAGCGAGTGGGGAACAGCAACCCAATAATATTACACATACGCCGTGGTGTACCAATGTAAACCTTTATGTGGTCTGTATAAGGCTGGGGGAAAACGTGTTATTCATGCCGCGCTGTTTCCTTTTTTTGTGGCAACCCAAATTAAGCCTAATCAAATTGCAATTAAACAAACGTAGGGCAGGCTCAAAAATAGAATAATAAATTTGCTGGGCGATAATCTTGTTGGTTTGCTCACTAAGGCGGTGGTTAGCCCAGATTAGCTTAGTTAATCCACTTTGAAGTAATTATCCCAGAACTAAGGCAATCTGTTTTCCTAGGACCGCCCTATTTTTCCACAAAATGTCCGGTTTGATTGATTTGCCTGAGCTGGTGAAACTTATCTTCCGAGCTATGCAGTCAGGATCCATCCATCAATGTCAGTAGATTTTTGGGGCTGCAGATAACGTATTTTTTGGTTAATTAAAAAAGAGCTTTATATATATTTTATCGGACTTAAGGAAAGTTCTTTCGGGTTGTTTATTTGGAAGGCACTGGCAAGCTTTCATACCATTTCCAACTACGGCCAGAAAATGCAAACTAGTGAGTGAGTAACCAAGTAGAGGAAAGGATAGAAAGGGACAATCAATTCAATAATCCAAACAGCAATCCACTCCCAACTGGAGACTCCAATTTCCATTTCGTATTGCCCTCAAGTCTTGTGCCATTCGCTTCGGTTCACTGGGAGTTGGCCTCCAACCCGCTGTGTTCGTTCGATTCCCAATTTCATCCGTTCTCCGGTCATGGAACACCTAATAAAAGATCATTTGCATATGAATGCTTCGTCAGAACACGGAATCCAATGTGTAAATTGTTCAAAAATGCAAAAATGAACTCAGCTCGGGTCGCGTGGCTGACACTGAGACCGGTGGCGAACCCATCACCTGGCATCCGGCTGCCAGGACGATGAGTGCCAATGTCGTGGCCCCGAAGGCAGCTGTGCGCGTGTGCTCGGGTCGGGGCTTTTGCATTCAAGTGCATCCCAAGTTTTGTTGTTCA